TCCTAATATACGTCCTCCAATTCACTAGATAAACAGTATAAAGTGTATTTAGTTACTCTTATCATAAGAGAATGTCTAAATCTGATCTGAGCATCTACTTGGTTGCATAAACGCTCACCAAGAGTAAACTGCTACATACATAATTCTGCAAAGTATTTCGTTTAACTAAATGTGTGTTTTACATTGTAAATCAACTATTTTACCAGTTTTTGTGATTTGTTTTAAAGGAAAACTTCTTCATTTGATAAGGAGAAAAAAAACTGTTTGAACTTTGTTCAAAGCCACAGTGTTCAGATGTAATTTATTAAGTTAATTATAAAGTGTGGTGAAACAGGAAAATGAATTCAACAAATTGAGGTTTGTAGTTTTAGTTTCTCTCTTTTTAATGTAGAAAGAGAGAACTGATCAACTTATTGTGTGTTACAAAAATATTATTATTAAATGACCATTTCAAAGTATGTTTTAAAATATGACTACGCATCCCGACAACCAAAATATTTTTACCAATGAATCTGATTAGACAACAACATAAATTCAGAATGATAAAAATTATGTAACTATATACTTTTCATGTTTTAAACAGGGAAATATTGAAGCTTCGATTCCAATAAGATTCAACAAAATACACAACGCCATGCTAAAATATTGTAACAGTGAGGCGCAGTCAGGGGAGGCAGGTGAGGCTGTTCCTCAAATACAAATAATATGTTAAAATGATCATACGTCTTCACTCTTTACAGTTATCTGCCATTTCGTGTTTCTTGTACAGAGCAATCAGAAAACGCTAGCACAGAAAAACTAAAGGTGAGACATGTTGTTCTCCTGCCTCATGCAATGGGGCTCTGGTGATCCAAGAGGTAGTGATCTGTTCAATCTAAATAATATAGAATTAGCAGTCGTTCTCATCACTGAAAACATACAGATGGAACAGAACTGATCAAGTGCGTCCCTTAACTTTTTTTTATACCTACTTTTAAAACTGAGGAAGAAAAGCAACACTTCTACAAACAAGTCATCAGATATTTTTTTCAGATCGAGCGTGATCGATAGCATACAACTAAGCAAGACTGTTTTAATTTGGGATAGAAATTTGTTAACTTCAGATACTTTGAAACAAAAGGTTAGCAACAGGTTTTCTGGAGTTCTTATTGAATAAGAGATAAAATATACTCACTGGAGCGCAGGAGGCTGCGGGTGGCAGACTTGGGAGTGGCGGGAGGAGGCAACACTTGATTGTTTGCAGAGGCAGCTACAGCAGCAGCGGTGGACAAGAAGGTAGAGAAGTAAAGCCCTGAACCCTCTCGAACTGGACTGAGGATGGGCGGAGGGGTGTATGGTGGAATATTGAGAGGGTTGTCGGCTAATCGGACAGGGGAACGTAAGTGACTCTGATATGGTGTGATGCTGGAATAAACCGGGGGAACGATGAAATTGCTGAGTTTTGGTGGCGGAATAAAAAGAGGTTCTGGTCGTGGCCGTCGTTTGGATTTAGATAATTTGCCATCAGCGTCACTTACATCATCAGCTCCTCCATTCTGTAGAAGAAACAACAGGTCAAATCCGGATATACAGTGTAAGGAAGTGCAAAGTAACTAAAGTCCCTGCTGTATTGCAACAGTCAAGCGTCAACAAATGCATATTGAACCGAGAAGGGTGTACCTTCTAAGAGGTTAGAAAGACTTATTGGTATTGAGGTTGTAACAATATCCGTATTGAACCGAACGATATAAGGAATTTAGTTTGTTTACACGTGCAACTCAAGCAGTATAGCCTTTAACTTTAATATTTGAATACAGGTTTTGTTTAATTTCACTGAAGTAGTAATTCGTGAAGATTTACATCCAGAATAGTTCAATGTAGAACGAAAACAAAAAAAATAAAATAAGTGAAAATTATTTTTGAAATTTGCCATTTTTTTTTACCATTTCGAAAATGTACTGAAAAGTGACACCAGTGTGTTGTATCGAACCAAACCATGGTTTTTGTGAAGTGCTACACCCTTAAATGTAACACAAAAGGGTGTAAATTAATAAAGTAAACATGACAAAATGATATTATTTTAAGTGTTCTCTTAATTCAGTCTCACACTTGAGGTGCATCTAAGATGAAAATAACCAACTTATCCATTCTTTGGAGTTTCAAATATTGGCCTTGTCTATATATTAATGAACATACATCCTTTATACATCAGAACAAAAGCAAAAAAATAAAAATAAGAGCTGCAGAAAACTGCTGAAGTCTATCTACATCCATGTTTTAACAAAATCATTTCCCTATAGCAAAACACCTCTTTCTTTTTCACAAAAGAGAACTCCCACACTGCTGGCGTCTCATCTTTCCTCGAGCAAACACATGGCAATAAAACACTTTCTATTTCAAACGAATTAACTACTAGATATAATCCAGAGCTTTAATGTGACATTAACGATGCATTATTTCGATGCAATTATTACTTTATGCCAGACACTGGGTAATCATTGTATAGGTTATGGTCATAAAATACCAATCTTGCTGAATCTTGTCATGTTTCGGAAATCTGGTAATGAAACTGGGTGGGGGGAGGTTGGATTAGGGTGCAAAGACTGGAACAGGGTTGGAGGGATCAACAGAAATTTGTGGGATTATGGGGGAATTTTAATCCAAAGCTGCACTGAGGGGGGTGGAATATATCCACTGGCAAGTATTAGATCATGAGCACGAAATATGGACAAATCAGAAGTCACTCTCACCTGTCCAGTGCATTCAGTTGGAGAGTTGCGCAGTGAACGTCGGCGTGTAACAATAACAGAAGGCTTGTAATTGGAGCAGCCCATGTCCTGAGAGCCCAGAGGCCGTGAGAGCCAGCTAGCTGAGAGGGAAGCCTGCTCTTGATCTGGGGATGAGCACTCTGTCTGCCTCACAGGCACAGAAACTGGAATGACCAATGGCATGAGGCCATCATCTCTGCGACGCTTGGCACTTGTCTGATCCACCTCAGATGTCAGTCGCCCTGGACCTGTCTGTGCAGCAGGTGGACTCCACGGTCTATGTGGCTCTTGCTGGATACATACGATTGGAACCATTAAATTAACAGTATATGTAACCTAAGCAAGCACAACCTTTAATTTACTCTAAAGTAAGGTAAAATAATAGCAATGGAGGGTTGGCAAAACATATTAACCCCTTGCAAGAGTAAGGAAATGTTGACAACAGCATGCAAACGTTAACTCTTGGGTTCCATATACAGCTTAAGACTTTTGGGCCAGCTTTAATATGTTTAAGAGGAATGATTTTGTCATCGTCTAATTTTCTCAAAGACGATAAAATATGTTTCTTTTTACCCCCAAACGCTTTTTTTAACAATGCAAAAGTATTGAACATCTTTCAAATCACAGATAAAGAGTCAGTGAGAAATATTCTTTACACCCTTTAAGTACAGATTAGTGCGCAGCTTGAGTCTGTTTGAGTGTGACATTGTGAGCTTGACATCACTCTGTGAACAGACATTGCTGCTCCAGGGGTATACGCTTCTGGTGCTCAGCTTTTATTTCCCATCATGAAGCATGTAGACCTACTTTATGCATAGTAATATTAGTGGAAATATGCTATGTGTGGGGTTTTTTTTCTGTGTCTCAAAGTTTTTTGGTCATCCACACACTAGGGGGCATCAGAGTGTGGCATATTTGAAAGTACAGCATATGAGTGAATGTTTTTTGATAACACATTGATTCAAATGTGTTCAATGCAACAGATTCACATGGTAAGTACAAATTATTTTACACACTTGAACATTGTACAATGCCAAATAACTTGACATCGCCTAACCCTAGATAGTCAACTTCAAGTGTCGAGTGTCAAGTAAAGTCAAGTAATGACGAAAACTGTGTTTTCACACTAGCAATGATTTAGTTTGTTCAATACACAAACATGGCTGTCCCTTCATATTTGTGTTCAAAGTGTAACCTCACGGACACATGTGCACACTAAATAGCTGGCCACATACCGAAAACTGAGGAAAAACGAAGCACCCTCACCTCACAAATAAAATGAAGTGTGCTACATGGAGTCAGCTCTGATGCTGTGGAGGTTTCTTTTGTTTAAAGCAAAAACAACAGCCATTCAACTTTCGCATTGTTGCAGGCAGCTCATAGGAGTGACTATGTACATGCTCTTCTGATTGTTTGAGTCTAATAGCCATTCTTCTTTTGAGCCACATGTTCAGCCCATTCCTGCGAAAGACTGGTGATAGACTCCATAGACGATCTCTGCAAGAACGCCAAGGCAAGAGCTTTTTTCCCAGAAGAGACAAATTGGTTTCACACTTGCAAAAAATCGTATGTCCCTGAGGTCAAGTGTGCTGGGCAATGAATAGATTTGGTGACCTACTTTGAGCCCCTAAACAAGGTCTCAAAATAAGTACCAAAACTCAAAGTAACGCTTCTTATGTGGTCTATAGAAACTTTCCAGCTCTAACAAGATTTTATAGGGGCGGCATGGTGGTGCAGTGGGTAGCACTGTGGCCTTCGAGTTAGAAAGTTGATGGTTTGAGGCTCCGGTTTCCCCAAAAACATGCGGTCAGGTTAACTGAATAATCTAAATTCCCCTTAGGTGTGAATGTGTGAGTGGATGTCTCGCCCAATGTGTGTTGGAGAGCTCTATATCTGTGTGCATGTGTCTACATATTGCATTGCTAGTCTAACGTCTGAATCAATTTGCTATTTATGTTTATTTTATTGTAAAGCACTTCAGGCAACTGCTAGCTTACTCAAAAGTAAGTCTCTGCAAGCTTTAGCATCTATATTATGACTTTCTCAGATTCAAATCATAGTTCACATTGACGTACATTCAACATACAGCAAATAAACAAAAGATTGCTTGAAAGCACATTTTTTGCTGGGGGTAAAAGTGCAAGGTTAAGAATCTTTTAAATCTCTTAAACTTACATCTATGCATTTAACAAAGACTTTTATCCAAAGCGACTTAAATTTCAAAGAATTAACCCTTTTTTAATCAGTTCTTGCTTTCCCTGACATTTGAACCTGCGACCTTCACGTTGTTAGCGCAATGCTCTACTAGCTGAGCCACAGGAAAGCCCCCAAAACTTACTCTAATGACCGGTTGAACTGATCCAGACAATTCTATGGGTATGTGAGCGATTTATGATGAGGCATCATCCAAACGTCAACAAAACAGGAACTAAAGAACCACAGAAAAGTGACACTCAAACAATTTCACAATACCTAAAACTTTCAAAACCTCTTTTTGGCAAATGTTTGAGTCATGTATTCTGCCAGTGTTTTGAGAGGAAGACCAAACTCTTGTTTCCCTTAATGGGAGAGCAATTCCCATTTCCATTCCCCTCAATGCTAACGCTTAGCCACGAGCACTACAAAAGAACAAATCTTCACAGTCATGCTGTGGAAAATGCAATCAGATATGAGTCACTAAAACCGTGTTTCACAGGAAGCAGAAAGAAAATCTAGAAATCCCTGAGGATGTGCCCTGTCTTATCAGAACTCTGGCCTTGCTGGCTCCACAGAGGTATTCAGATTAGCACATTAAGCCCTTGCAGCTCACTCACCCTTGAGCCACAGCAATTTTTTGTGCTTGTGTAAAGGAGCTTTAAGGGTATAATGGGTAATCATCATCTGTAGACGTCATCTGTATCAGTGACTTATGTTTCTACTCTATTCAAAAAGCAAGGAACAGCTGATATGAGATTTAACAACACTTGATTCAATGAACGGTGCAATTTGTTCTGTACACTATCAGTCACAGAAATCTACAGTATATAAAACACACCCTTGCTTTGTCTTCATTGGTTGGATGTCAAGGAAGTACTGTTGTCCTTCTCAAAAAAAGTTTAAACAACAAGGAAATCTAAATTTCATTTATGAGGATTGTGATTTGGTTTATATTTGAAGCATCACTAAGCAATTTTTAGAAACTCTGGTAATTATATTAGAAATGGGATATGATAATAAAGTTAAAACTAAAACAGCATGATGCTGATTTGTCAATTTGTTTTATATTTCAATAGATTAAAATAACACAATATCATGGGTCTGAAAAACAACAGATTAATTCACCTTCATTACTTTTCATTGGATACTAGTGCTTTCTTCAAAATATATATTTTTTAAATAAAAGATGGAAGGCTGTCTTCACACATAAAAAAAACAAACATTAACAGCATTGACTCCATGTTGCAATTTTCCCCTTTTTGCTACAGGTATAAAGTAATTTAAGAAGGCAAGTGTGAGTTACACTGTGAACACAACTCTGCAGAGCATTGTGAAGTTTTGCACATTAAAAGAGAGAAATTTAAGCTCTTTATGTAAATAATTGCTAAGGGCTCATTGACTAGGAAGGACACAGTAGAGGAATTTCCTACAAAGCTCCTGTCAGTAGATGGTTACAGTGGTGTGGGGAAGCCTTTTGCCTCTAGATCATGTAGCCCAAGTTTGACAGTTTGTTCCTTTGCATGACTGATTTTGCACTCGCTTGGATAAACCAGCAAAACCTGTATAAACAGGCAGCGCATCCTATTCTAGAAGATAACCACATCTGCTGCACATTGCTGAGTCATTTGAGGTGCTTAAATGTACAGACAAACATTTCATTTAGATTACTCAACAACATAACCACCATCATCCCAAATTTCAATAAAATACAAAGCCATCAGCCACCTTACCTTGACATTACGTGAAGGAAGGGACTCCCTTTCTGAAGCCTTCTGAGCTAGAGTTTCCAAGTTGACCTCTTGTGACACCCTCCTTTTTCGTCGTGTGATCTGTATCACACCAGTCGGAGCTGCCTGGATGTCAGGCCCCACAGACATCTCAGAAGACCCATTCTGAGAACCCTGCGTCAGATCAGTTGGCATGACAAAGGGGTTTTCTGAAGCAGGGCCTCCACCCTCTTTGGAAAGCCGCCGTGACCTCCGGGGTCCAGGCTGTTGTGTCTCGATAGATTGTTGTGGAACAGTTTTGACAGAATGAGAAACAGTGTCCTGAGCCTGTGGTAATGAAGGATTGCTTTGGGATTGTCCTGGTAATGAAGAGGGATGCTGATTCAGTGAAGGGGCATGCGCTTGTTGTCCATCAGAGAAGCTCTCAATCAAGTGCTGGTTCTGACTGAGGAGCTCAGATTTCTGTTGCTGAACTGGGTCCATGTGTTGCTGAATCTGTTGTACTTGCTGTTTTCGTTGCGGTTGCTGAAGCTGTTTCGAATGCTGCGATTGTTCCTGTAGCTGTGATTGCGTGATTTGTAGCTGCTTACATTGTTGGGGTTGCCCCTGGTGCCGTAATTGCTGCTCCAGCTGCAGCTTGAGCATCTCTTGCTGCAACTGCAGCTTCTGTTGTTGCTCCTGTTGATGCAAGTGTTGAAGCTGATGTTGAGAACTCACCTGTGTGCTATAGTTCAAATTTGGCAACGTTCTATTCCCCTGAACTACCTGATAGTAACCTGCAACCAAGTTCTGCTTTGGCTGTCCGAAAGCTAGCTGAAAGGGTTGCAACACTGAATTCCCAGCATTGGATCGCCTATGCTGCTCAGGATTTAACATTCCAGGCTTTTGCGGGGGCTGAAAAACTTGTTGGTGATCCCATTCCATGCCCCGGGCAGGTTTAGTTGTATCTCCGTAGGGGTCACTGGTTATGTTAGACCTCTGTTTTTCAGTAGCCCTAACAGTCGACTCAAGTTGCTGGTGCTGCTGCTGCTGCTGTACACCCATACCCTCTTGCAACTGCTTGGCAAAAGCAGACTGGTTTCCCAGGTAAGGACCACAGTTCTGAGACCAAGTTGTCATGCCTTGTGGCCAATTGTTTGGTCGCTGCATGGTCTGTAGAGATGGGTCTTGATGTGCCCTTTTGACAGGCATTGTCTGTTGATAGTGCCCACGGCCTTGATCACCCTTCTCTGGGCTAAAAATTACAGAGTTGAGGTACATACGAGAGGCTTCTGAATTCAAGCCATCTACTGTCCCGCTTTCATTATGGCCTGGCCCTGAGGGAGGGCCTCCAATGCCATAGTAGGCCCCAGTATGCTGAGATGCCTCTTTCATTACAACACCCTGTTCGTTAAAGAAAGTGATGCGTTTGCCTGTTCTTTTTGCGTTTGGTTTCTGTTGAGGTTGTAAACTCATGACGTTCATACATGCAGATTGTGGGGGGAGGTGGAAGGGGCGGTTGAGGAGCAAGATTTCAAACCCCCAAACCGCACCAAAGCCTTCTCCGGTTTATTGAGTAGTACAAGTTTTAAGCGAGACAAAGAGTACTTGACCAGTTTTGGGACAATTAATGGTCATCCAAACCTACTCAACATGGTAGGAATACTTGTGAGCTTCATCATAGTAAACTGCAGCATCTTGGTTACAGAAATATCAGTTTCGGTGTGCTCAAACATGTCCATGTGCTTCAATGCAAAATCTCCAACTCCTATAAAGTCCAACAAGTATCACTTGATGCATTCACTTGTAGGTGATTCATGGGAGACAACCTATGAAAACAAAAAACTTGTAAATACACTCATTGGAGTTTGTTTGGAGATAATAGTAGAAATTGTTTGTTAATTAATAAAAAGGGTCGAGAAAAAAAAAACTGAAAGTTTGTGAAACTTCACAGTAGTTTGTTCAGAATAAAGGGACAGTAACAGAATGAGCTACAAGCAAACACAAGTTTGCGCATGAGTAAGAAGGCCAAGAGCAGGGGGAAATGTGCATGCCACCACAAACGCATGATATTTGAGGATTGTGAGCACAGATGGCAAAAGTGAAAGTGTGAGTTGCAGATGTGACCGGTTGGATGCATACTCCCACGAAACATCTAGTTTCACAATTAGTACATTAAGAAGGTTTGCATTAACATCAAGACTAAAAACAAAACAACTTGCTAAAGCTTTTTTTCCATAACTGATGGAAAGCTTATCTTATTAAATGTGCGGATGTAGAAAAAAATTACATCAATTAACCCAGATGCGTTATCTACAAAAATATGGCTTGATTTAAAGACGTAGTTCATAACAAAAATTGTAATGCAAACATTAAAAAGTGTGCAGTGCTAACTAGCCTAGAAGGGTCCAATTTTTATTCGACATGCATTAAAAATGGCACAATAAACAGGCATGGAAGAGAAACATGGCATAGTTTAGAGGCAAAGCTTTTTTTAGGTGCAGAGCAAGGGATGATTGAAGACTGCTTCCCTTTACAAAACATGGACAAAGTAACAACACATAAAAACTATATGGTTGGACATCTTACGGATAACCATTTGTTGTGATTCATGAGTTTAATTCTCATTTAAAATTGTATTTAAATTCAGGGGCTTTTTCATTTTAATGCATGGGTTTCCTCTTAGAAATATGGGTTTCTGAGAGGAAACTTTTTGTATCTGTTTATCCACTGAAGTAAATACCAAGATAAAATGGTTTCCTTTAATAAAACCTTCATCGATGAATTTCAACATGCAATTTTGATATTTAGAACTGCATTGTAACAGTTTGTTCAGACTGCAAACAACATTTCAGTGTTTCTTAGTCTATTAAAATTTTTCTAACAATTTAAAATGTGCCATTGGCCATGGGTGCATACTACATTTGGGGATACTGTATTACAGCAATGAAGAAGAGAAGACAAATATGGATAACATCTATTAATCTCCTTTACCCAATTAGTCTTAATTAAGGAATTTTGCTGATGCTGAATTACATCTCAAAAGGCAAAAGGTGGGGTACACCCTGGACAAAATTACCAATTCACAATAGCTCACAATTCACTCACACATTGATTCCTAAAGGCAATATGAATCAAAGCATGTTTTGGACTGCTTCTAACATCCTCCCTATTGCCTATTACCACAATCTACATTGAAATCTGAGCTGTGCTCAATTTTGCCATTATTAGAAACTTTTTTTTCTCAACCTCACCTCCAACACAATTGTTTCAATTTCAGATCATGACTGGTTTTCAACATATGTGTGACATTGATGAGCATTAGCACCTGTTTGTTGTACTTGGCTGATCATACACCTGACTTTAATCCAACACAGTCCCTGAATGTGTGCAAGTGCAGCTATACGGTTTGATGCTAATT